ATGGCCGTGATGGGCGAGTATATCCAAAAACGGTAGCATTAATGCAAGATCCATGCGGCTATTCCCTGTACACTATAGCAATAGACATCCCATCGTTTTGTCCTGCCCAAACACAAGGCGAGGCGAGGCGAGGCATGGCATGGCAAGGTAAGGTAAGGTAAGGTAAAAAGTAAGGTTAAAAGCAACCTTAAATACCGGCATTTGCGCAGATTGCTTGACTGGGCGAGCCCGTCTATTTAAGCATGCGGAAGACTCCGGTAAGGGAGTCAAAATCGGGCTGAGGCGAAAGTATCCATGGCCGGCTTACACGGGGTGTTACATGTAATACAAGCAGCCATAGGCGAATTGTGAGGCTTACAAGAACTGGCCACGAGCTCACAGCATGACCACTTTCAACTAGGTAGTAGTAATAGACAAATTACAACTTACAAGGTTGTATCTTGACCGGTCTTGCTATGATAATGCCTTACCTAAGGGCAATAGAGTAATACCACATGCTACTATGTAGGTAGTACACCCGAGTTCGCAAATTTGGATGTAGGAATAGAATACCTCCTCCCATGTAGGTTAGGTAAGTTAGGTAGGGCATTAATACGTACATACCTAAGTAGTATACCTAACCTAAGATAATAGGTATACCTACCATACCTAGTGCCCACGGTATGGTATGCGTAGGTACATTAAGTACCTAGCGCAAGTACCGGGTTTAGGTACAATTAGAGCTCTAGGTACAATTAGGTACACTTTTAGTGTGGGTAATTCCAATAGTGCCTCTAAGTACCTCTAGGTACCTAAGGTTATGTTTGGTACAACGGACAGGACAGTCTGCCCCTCCTTTGGACTTTAACTCGGCTGCCCCTCCCGTCAAAAACTTGCCTAACGCTTCGCCAGTCACAATCTTCGCAACTTCGATATATTTCGACATAATAGTCTAGTCTCCGAAATCCTTGTCGTAGATATATACACCTATGGTCAAATTATATGATGGAATGTTTCGGGAGCGTGATGAGGATGACGATGAGAATTTTCAGCAACTTCACAAACTACATCCTAGCGTTTGAAAGTTAGGTCTAGATGAGGTCATCGTCATCCTCATTCCCCAGTTAGTTGGCGCTGAGTCGACAGAACGATTCTGGGAAAAAGCACGGTACTTACCTCTAGGTATATATCCCGGTGATAGATACCTATATCTCTAAGGTATGTGACAAGTTCTTGCTACCCTATTGCGGTGTCCCTTCAATTCCCCGAACCCCCCAGTTTTGCGCCTTAGTTGAAACGTCTAAATATGAGAGATCGACTTGCCTAATCGGGTTGATCTTGAAACATTGCCGACAAGGGCTGCGAGAAGGCGAAACAATACGATGCCTAGCCCGTTTAAACCCATCTCTCTCCCTTCTACTGGCTGACCAACTTTGTTCCCATTGCCCAATCGCCCAGCCGCTTTTGCTACCTTGAATTTTTTTTTCTTCATTTGGAGCCAACTTGGTCTTATTATCCAACATTACCGAAGCTATTTGGTACTTATGCCATGTACAAAAGTTGAGCCCGTCGGTCCCGAGATGCGGCGGTCTTAGGCATTTCTCATTTCGGCATCTGAATGGAATCTTCGTCAGCGTTAGAAAAACTTCCCTCAGCCTTCAGGAGAAACAGGAGAAGCCCCCTAGGCAAGGGACGTGATACCCAATATCGGTAGCCATGCGGCCGCAGAAACTCCAAGTATACCTAACCTTAGGTATGTATTACTGTTGTTCGTATTTCTCACCTTAGGTACCTAACCTAGACTGAGACCGACTCTAGGTGGAAATGTTAATCTTCTAAAGAGGAAGTTAGCTGCCAAGATGGCTAGGATTGTTTGTCCCCGTTGCGCGTGCGCCTGTTATTCACATAATGCGCACGATTACGAAACCGGGAATACTCTGTTGTTTACAGCTGACACCGTTGGGAATCTTACATAGATATGGGTTGGTTACAGGGAAAGACGAGAGCTCCTTGTTATGAGGTATAATGGTAGACCCCGCCATGGTGCGTCATTCTTGATTTTCTTGCTTCTTGACTTTTCTACTTGCCTATGCTGCTTATGTTGCTTTATGGGGATCATACTCTAGGTACGTCAGTTTGGCATGATGCCTTTCAAAAACTTCCGCGACACGCGTGGTATTTGAATATAGTATAGCTTCTCTTAGGTATACATAAATACCTACATCTATGTAGGTAGGTATGTATAATATCTTAAGGTAGGGTATATAAGTAGGGTATGTTACATTGCGCAAAACTCCCAAACGGCAATACATAATTCATACCCTGACACACCAAGTGGGATTGAAACTCGTCGCATGCCTAAGTACCTACTTTAGGTTAGGTAGCCATTCTCACGGCTATCTTTTTTGTCGAGACCTTTCTTCCCCGTGCGGACTAATTACACATACGTATATACATCCGTCGGTACATACGCTTGCATATGTATGCTAGACTGGAAGACCCGGTAACGATTCCGTACAGTAACGCACAGTGTAAAATACTTCAACCTGGAGAGCTCCTCACGGTTTCGTGTTGTATAAGGCATACAGTACTTACACACACGCCTAAGGTACCAGGGATATCAGCTAAATACTTATATATCTGTATTTTCTTTTTCTCGTAGCTTAGTAAAACGGCATCACACTGACATGATAACTACCTAAGTAGTTATTAAGCAGTTAGTTAGAGGTATGTATTAACTACCTAAACTAATATCGTAGGTATTTCTTCCACTTCTGCCCGTAACCCTGGGCTCTTCTCCTCTATCAGGCTTAGACACCGTTCTGCGGGTTGTAACTAAGTATATATTACGCATTACTCGTCTACACTACATCAAGCGGGTGAACTCCACTTTTCAGCTGCTGACGCTAGTATTTCCAAGCCTGGAATGTACATACTGTATGTACTTGCCCCTTTCGACCTTGTCCATTCGAATGTTTGGTACCAACGGTCTCTGCCGAGTTTCCTTTCTTACATACATCTTACTACTATGTATGTATTTCAAACAATGCATACCCTCGCCCATTCACCACAAACAAAATACCTAATTACATACACATACCAAGGGGTGATGTACATGATATACCTAATATACATTTTGGTAAGTACCTTACATATTACATTATAGTATTTCTCTATACATAGTAACGTCCTACGTACGTATTGCCTATATCCGTCCCGTGTATGGAGTATAGACCTGATTTACACATACCTAAAGGGTTTACAGTAGTAAAACATGCACACATACACATACTTACAAAAGCACCACTTTTAGGAAGAAAATTAAAGAGAAGAGAAAAAAAAAGATAAAAAAAAATAATACAAGATGGTCCGGGTTCTAGATCTTCTCGCGGGAATTCTCCTGCGCCGTCCTATCCCCAGTCTCTCTAACTCTTCTTGACACGTCTTACAGCAGAAAAGTATCTGTTTATTAGTTTTCGTCCCATCTACCTACCCACATAATGCGCCGTGCAGTTCTTTTCTCTTAGACTCCACTCTTCAATCCATCCACTCTCTCTCTTTTTTCTTCTTTTTTTTTTTATTACTTTTCTCTCTCACACTGTTACTTTAGGTACCTAACCCAGGTAGTCAAGCAAGTTGAGCACCATACTTACTTAAGACAAGCTGGATGCTAGGTAGCCGCTTTGCCAATACTTCCACACCCCCACCACTCGTTGATTCGTTCGTCACTCTTGCATCCTCCTTCACATTCTTTTTTCCGACGTCGAGGATCGACCCTGCATCGTAACTCTTTCCACCCCCGGCCTTCGATACTCGAGTTCAGAAACGGTGTAGGTCAAGTTTCTCTACTCCTACGTACTTGTAATGTACTGGTATAAACGAGGTCCTGCTACCAAAAGATACCTTGCTAGCCCTATAAACACACCCGTCCCAAGGTCGGACCAGTAAACCCTACCGTGGAAGACAAGGGCTCGTTGATCCCAGAAGGGAACAGGAAGAAAAAAACAAAAATTAAAAATTAACTGGGAGCAAGGACAAGCCAGGTTGAATTCGGAATCTGTACTTACCAGCTCGATCAGCCTCGTCACTACAGTGGCGTGAAAAGAAGGCTTCCCCTCCCCTCCTCGTTCCCCGGGACATGCCTCGCCAACTCCTCAGCCACTCTTCAACTTCTTCTACCTTAAGGCTAACATTCCGTAGCTGGACGGCCTAGTTTCTTTCACTCGAGCCTCTCGCTAACCAAATTCTCTTCTGCCTCAGTTTCTTTTTATTTTAATGAAACTGACAAACTTGACCACTTAACTCTTCCTTGCTGCCAACGCCTCTCAGACATCCTTAACATCTAACATGTCTGGATCACACTCACTTTGACAGCGAGTACTTCCTTCTGATGACTTGGACGGCTATCATTACCATATTTGCGTAAATCAGCCTACTGAGATACACTGCTCGGTCCAGCTATCTAAATTCCTTGACCCCAAATAGTCTCATTCCTTCTTATCCGGTCTTCTACAAGCTCTTGTATGAAATCTTCCAAATACATTTGTACGCATACTACTTTTCAGATAAGCCAGGCCCTCGTTTTACTTCACACCCAAAACGGCCTCTGCTTTCCACTTCGGGCATTGCCTAAATCGGCTACAAGTGGTAGAATCTAGTCTATCGGCTCACAATATCGTTCCGTTCCAAGATCTTCCTAGCTGGTGCTTTCCGACACTCAGAGTTGCCTTAGGCATCGATCCCCCCAGACGGCCAGGGTCCCTCGGCTGCTGTTGTATATCGGCGCATGTCCAGCTACTACGCCTAAAATACCACGCAACAACTACTGCAGTTCCCCCCCCCCCAGCTGATCCTTTGGAATTACCACCCATGTGTTTGGCATCGACCTTCAAATGAGGCTGGGCTTTGGGATCCAACAGTTCCACAAGCCCCGATCATATCCTGTCCCCTCTCTACTAAGTTGGCCGTCCCATCCAACTTTCTTATGCAAAGGTTATTAACCACCTCTTGTTTCGTAAACATCACCACCACTACCACCACCACCAACAACAACAGCAACAATAACATTGCTAGCACCATATACTGCCACCTTATCTCTTTTCTAGCCCTTAGCATGCGTCCCCACGCCGTCGTCTAGTTCCCCTTGATGTTTTCTATCGAGATGATGCTCACAGCCAAGCAGCCAGTCCAACACGGGTACCGGCCTGTCCATGATCTACCGACGCCGCCTCGATCCTCGCCCCCCTTGAGTGTTCAGGACTCTTTGCAGAAGTCATTTGTGGCTCTCCCGCAGAAGCAGAGCCCATCAACCAAGCCCATGTCAGCACCTCATCGTGGCCTGCCTCTTCCGGCAGCCATGACATTAGCTCAACCGCCGCCGCCGCCACCGGCTCCTGGTCCACCTCACCCACCAGCTCCAGGACCGCCTTTACATTCTCAAGGAGTGCCAGCTCCTTCTCCGCACAGTCAGGCGCTCGGTGCGCTACCAGCGCCTCCTCAGCATCAGGGCTCCGAGGAAGCAATGAGGAGCTGGTTGATAGCTAAAACTGAAGAAGAGAAAAGAAAGCAAGAAGAAGAAAAGACGCGACAGGAAACTTTACGTCTAGAACAGAGGAAATTGGAATACGACATGCTCCGAACGTCTTTGGATCGGGGTATACCACCACCAATGATACCTATTGTGTTCGCGGGAATGAGCAGCGGGACGCTATCGCAAGCCGCCCTCGAATGGGCGCAACAGTATTTGATGCCGCAGCAGGCGCACGCAGCGCAGATTATGCCAGTCCAAGGGGCTTTATCACCAGAGGCCCGAAGAGAGTCTCAACAGTACGGGGGGCAACAATATGGTGTCCCGTCTACGCCAGGATCCGTAGCAGGCGCCCAGGCGAGCTTCGTGCCCTATCAGGGGCCTAGCTCACCAAGGCATAGAGCACACACATTGAGCATGGGCGGAGCTGTAGGAAGGCCTCTAGGAAGTTCGGCACTTCCCCGGTTGAGTACGGGAGAAGGAGCTTCTGGACCGGCTGGCATTCCTCATCCGGCACATGCGCTCGCGCAGCAGCAACAACCGCAACAAGATACCCAGTCGCCATCGATATATTTCCACCATTGGCAACCCCCGAACACCCAAGGAGGCTCTAATCAGCCAGGAACGCCTTCTGGTTTGTCAAAATCCAAAACGAACAGGTAGAAACACGTCTGGCTAATGTTGCCTCTCGGCAATTAGTAGAATCGCCTAAGAAACGAAAAGCGACGGGTCCCCAGCAAGCGCCGCCTCCGCCGAGCCAAGCGCGGTTTAGATCTCCGCCTTTCGGTCAGCACAGTGGATCATCAGCATTATCAAATCCACCTCCCGGTCGACGGCGAGGACATTCGCGGCAGAGAAGCGACGTCTCGGCATATCGGTCTACGGGACGGGGTCGAATCGAACCTTTTGGTCCGCATCGGGGACTTTCCCCAGGCCTCGGTCCGTCAAGGGAAACCGGAGTAGGCGAGGTGTCACAGTCATCTAGGAGCGGTGCTCACTCGGTTTCGTCGTTATTGGCAGACCAGCCATCACCACGATACGCGTCAGAAATGAGACCGCATCAGAGCGAGGGTGAGCGACGAAATTCCCCGGCGACGTCGGATGAGAGGTCGCGTGGTGGAGCGACAGGGGTAGGATCAGGAGGAGCCGGACGAGAAAATGATTAAGGGACATACGTGTGATGGCTGTTGAAAGTCCGTCCGCATTTCAGCCTCTGGGGTGGGTTTCTAAGGACCGCGGGTTTTTTTTTTCTTTTTCTTTACCAATCTTTTGGAAGTGAGCCCCTCTCTCACGACAATATCGATTTGTTGCTCAAAATCACGATCGTGGACATTTCTTAGTGCGCTATGATTTAACCAGCAAGAGGGGGCTAATTTGCTTCCCCAAAGTAGCCATTCAAATTTCGGCTGGGCCAAAGAAGAAAAAAAAGCGATATTACGAACGGGCCACACGAAAAAAACAGCACAACCTAGGATGAGATGTGGCTTGGCAACGATTTTTTTTCATCCTAAATTTCACTGTAACTAATAGCTTCTGTCTGTACTAAACCATCTACCTGCATACATTTACATTTACATTCAGGGAAAAGGGGGCATTCACGAAGACGGTTTCAAAGCATTTTCTACGGTATGGAGAAATAGGCTCGGAAAAAGAGGACATGGAGTTTCTGGTGCGCCGGACAAACCGAATTCAGTCATCGTCATTTTGGGGAATACGCATGAAGCCCTGTACATTACTATAGATACCATGTGAAAAAAGGGGGAGGTGGGAGGTAAGGTGTCTAGATTTCAGAGACGACAAAAAGACTTAGGAATTCTTAAATTAAAAACCTCATACGCATGTGAAAAAAAATGAAAGAAATGCATAACACAGTTAAGTTCCAAAGGCTTATATCCGCTATCTCATCATCTTCTGTGGTGTATTCATTCCACCGCCTCTCGCTTGAAGTAACTCTTTTCACCTGTCTTCTTCCCGAACAATGTGACAGTCAGCTCGGTTTGGTAAGGGTTGGGTATGCAATGAATAATATAATATTACGATCTGTCGAAACATGATGCAGAGGCGCCAGAAAAAGGGAAAGTTCTTCACAGGTTACCTTACCTTACCTTGTTACGCGCGTTCTAACACATACCTAAAATGCATATTAAAAAAGGTAACAGGTAACTCAGGTAGCTGCATATAAGGCATCTTACGCTCTTTCATCATTGTCCGGACGGTACGCCTAGGGCGTTCGTATTGCCGTGTAGCGTATAGGTAATTTATTTTATATTTATTAGCTAGGCACTGCGACGCCACCGGTCGGACGAAGCGGGGGGGAATGGGGGGGGGGGGGGGGGGGTGGAAAACGGAGAATTGATGATTTTTCGAGAATTGTGGTTTGGGTAAAACAGCAAGGGCTAAAATAAAATGAGCTGACATTAATTTGCCTTCCAATAGGTTAGTT